ATTGGAATGCTATTGAGTTTATTCCAATCTACCACTTCCGGCGCAACCCACAGCGAGAATAAAGACACTAAGGCATACTTGTAGTTGTGGGAAGCCCAGGGTTCCTAGGTCCAGCCATGATGGTGGCTACTATCTAGAACAAAGGCCTCAACCCAGGACCACGCCTGGATTTTATTAATTTGTGAAGAAGGCAGTGGCTCAGGGATGAGTGACTGTGAGAATGGTGGGAAGCAGGAGAGTGCTGGGAGCTGGGCTGGGCAGGAGGCCCAAAATCACTTCTGCAATATGGAGAGAAAACAATATGCAGAAAAAGTGATCTGCATAACACAGTCGAGAGTGTATCTAGCATTTCAGGCCGGTGTTCAGCTCTGATGTGCACTCTTTCAAGCCCCAGGAGGCCAGAGCCCCTATCCCTAGGCCAGATCCCCACCACCAGATCCTACCTGACAGTGTGGAGCATCGGCTCTTTATCTTCCCTTATCCCGGCTCACAGAAACGAACAGTGGAGGTAGGTGTGTGGGGGTGCGTGTCAGGGAAGCACGCCTGCCATCTTCAGAGACTACCATTGGCACCTCAGCTGGACCAATGGGCATTGCTCAAGGCCAGTTGAAGGGGTGAGGCCAAGTGCTAGCCAGCTCAGTTTATGTCAGTACATGGAAACAGGGTCAGGTTCGGCCAACATGGAGACAATTGCTCCTCCTTCAAGCAGAGTCGCCCAGCTGGTCCTCCACAGCAGCCTGTGCAGAGTCATTTTGGGGAGCTTGGTCTTGGTCCTCATGCCCCTGTCTGGCTGCGCTCTGCCCCCGAACCTAGTCACACCAGCAGCTAACAGTGGGAGCAGAGGCAGGAAAGCGCTTGGGTCACCTGCGTTAGTATGCCAGCTGGTATGCCACTTTGCCCAGGGGCTGACAGTCCCTGCTCTCCGACTAGCAGTAAACCTGGCAGGGGAGCTGGGAGGCAGCCCCTCCCACTGCAAATGAAGCAGGGCCAAGGACATAGTCTTGAGCCATTGCTCCCGCCTGCACATGGGAGAGCGGGAGAATGAGATACTTAGGCAGAGAAGGGAGTCACCTTGGCCACGAGACCATAGCCGCCTCACTGCCTCACCCGCAAGTTGCTCTGTAAGTCTTGTTTTGATTTTGAAAACATCACAATGGTATCACTTAAAGATGATACCAACCGTAATGCTGTAGGTCCGTGATGACCATGGTGTGAGCTGAGCCGGATGTGGCCATCACCTGAGGTCAGACGGGCCCCCTCAGGCCCCGGGCCACTCTACTGGGTCAGAACCTGGAAGAGGGGCCCAGCCACTGTATTTAACAGGTCTCTTGCTTACATAGGTAAGGCAGTCATGGATTACTCCCCTCCCCTTGAGATCTGATCACCGTCATTGTCTGATCAAACTCCTCATCCTCTTCTTTCATGGCTAGCCACCCGACTTACCCTGGTAGGAGTCCCCTGACCCTAAGGTCTTCTCTTAGTCACTTTCTGCCCACTGACCCCCCCTCCCTCTGCTCCTTGGTCATCTTTGTAGTACTGGGAATTTAATCTGATATCTCTTCCTCATGGCACCAGCCCTAAGACATCTTCCTTACCATTTAAATGAGTGTCTGAATATCTCCTATTCATCTATAGAAATGGACAAGGGAATTGTTGTTCAGAGTCCCACAGGAAGGAGAGAACATGGCCTGGCCAACTGGGACTTTGAGTGTGGCTCTCGCAGCCGCAGAACCACATAGGGATGGCCCTAGAGAAATGAACAGGTGGTTTTGAATCTCTCTGAGAGTGTGGGGTTTCTCCTGAAGATGGAGTAAGTTTTGAGCAGGAGAGGGACGTGATTAGGCTTTTGTTCTAGCATGATCTTCCTAGCAGGCAGTTCTGGCAGTAGACTGAGGATCCCAGGCCGGAGCCCCCATGATAGCGGGGAGGAGATGGCTCTTCTGGAGGAGAAGAGGTGGAGGATGAACTGGAGTAGGGAAGCAGGCTGGAGGGAAGTGGACATCTGAGTCAGTTCACAGTGAGGCCCCATATCAGAATCGCTGGGGCAACGTTTTAGACACACTCTTGCACCATCAGAAGCCCTGAAGTGAAAACTCACACAACTGCATGCATGAAGAGCTAGCTGCAGCTAGGCTCAGAATCACTGAGGCAGAGGGGAAAGGCAGAATTTAGTGACACTGACAGAGAGGATGAAAGGAGTCAGGAAGGACCAACCGCATTCCTGGGAGCTCCCCAGGAGTCTGTGCCAGGCATCACTGGGGCGGCCAGTCACTGCGTTTTCAGAAGTCATGAGACTGGGCTTGGAGGTCAGAGTCAAAAACTTTATCTCCTTTTTTAGGTGGAAAGAAGTTTCTAGGCTTAGAGGAGGTTAGGCCTCATGCTAATGAATCACAGGACTCAACTGCGTCATCAAGATGCACTCATTCCTGCCTTCATTTGTTGCAGATGCTTGCCGAGTCCTGTGCTAAGTGCTGGAGATCAAACCAGACATGGTTCCTGCTCTCACAGAGCTTCCGGTCTGATGGGTGAGGCCAACTTTAGATGAGTAGGGATGGACCAAATGCAAAATGACAGTTGTGCTAAGTCTAATGAAGGGTAAATACTTAGTAGGTAATTAGAGATATGACCTCCTTGGTGGAGGAGAGAGGTTGAAAGCTTTCCCTGAGATAATGTCACCTGGCCTGGAGAGCAGAGGATGAGAAAGAATTACTTTAACAAGTGGGAGCTCAGTTGGTGGTAGTTATCACAGGCAGAGGGACAACATGCATGGGGACCATAAGACAGGCAGCCTAGATCCTCGGATGTTCTTTCTTCCTGAGGACATGGGCTCAGACTGTCAGCCCACAGGAGCAGCCTTTCCAGGTAGCAGTCCCTGGCACTGCTTCCAGAAGCCCACTTGGGATCTGAAGGGTGAATGTGGACCTTTCCAGGATCCCCTGGGATCTCTCACTCAGGAGCAGATGCCACAGCCTGAAGACTCACATGTCACACTGTCTGCCCCAAACATGTGCCTGGTATGTGGCCTAGCATCCTGGTGTCATCACAGCAGACCCCAGGGCCCTAGGACTCAAGGATGCCAACCTGCCTCCAGCCATTGAGAGTGGGTGACGAGACAGACAACAGGGGAGCAAGGGGCAGGGGTGAACAGCTAAGGATGAAGACCTCCTGCACACGGGGGAGCCACTCAGAGGTCTGCATGGAGTGGGCTCCCTGGCAGGCTGGCAGGCCCAGGCCCACTGTGGGAGCTGAGACAACCCTGCAGCGAGGTCACTGTGCGCATCCGCCGTCTCCACCTGGAAGCGCTTCCTGACAGCTGCTCCGTGGCGGTTCTCCTTCAATTTCCATTTTATAGCTGCCTCTGCCCTCCTCTGTGCCTGCGAGGCTGTGTCTCTGGAGAAGTCAGGCTGACACTGCAGGCTGTGATTGCGGTACCTTTCACCTGCCTCGGTTGCCTGGTTGTCTGCTCCTTGGATGTGAAGTTTTCCCGTATTTGTTCTATGGTCTAAATACTTACCAAATGCCTGGTGTGTGCCCGGCACAGTGCTGGGTGGTAGGGTAGACGGGGGCAGGTAATAAGAAAATATGGGCTGTCATTCCACCACCCCACTTACAGGCAACTCTGCACAACCAGCCAACAATTGTTTGTAGAGCAGGATCATGGAATTGAGGTGTGAATGCATTATTTAGAACCCCAAAGACTCCCACAACAGAAATAAATATTGCCACGTATCTAAAACTGCGGGGCAGATCGCAAGGTGAGTGCGTGAGATGAGCCCTCATCCGTCATACTAGGAAGCCAATAGATAATATCTATTATGAATAAATCAAGGAGCAGAGGTAATAAATCTTTAACAGAAACCACCAGAGTGTGATGATTAAGAGCACCCAGGGGTCTGGAGTCGGTATCCCGTGCTGAAGTCTCGTTGCTCCCCGCTCGAGTGAGCATCAACTACTTACCTGTTCCATGCCTCAGTTAGCCCCTCTGTAAAACGAACATGGTAGTGGAGCCCACCTCAGGGCCTCGTGAGCTCACGGAATGCCATAAACGATTGAGCACACGGATTGGCACATGGCATATGCACTTAACAAATGTTAGCCAAGGCTAAAAGCGAAACAGTCAGTGGTCTCTGGAGACCAGAACATGTGGGGCATGCGCCTTATGGTAAGCTGTCTGAATTCTTTCACTTTATAGCCACATGGGTGCATCGCATTACTAAAAATACAATGTACAGGCTGAGTGACTAGGAAAGCAGACACTGCATGAACTCTTCAGTCTAGCACCGCTCCTTCTCCCTCTTGTCGGTGCCATCTTCGTGCTTAGCTGTTCACCGCTGCCCCTTGCTCCCCTGTTGTCTGTCTCACCATCCATTCTCACGGGATGGAGGTAGTTGGCATCCTTGAGTCCTAGGGCCCTGAGTCTGCTGTGATGATACCAGGATGCCTAGGCCAAGTATCGGGCACATGTCTGGGGCAGTGTGGCATCTGCCCTCTGGGGGAGGGGTCCCAGGGGTTCCTGGACAAGTCCACGCTCCCCCTTCAGGGCCTCCACCCTCTACCCATGAGGACTGCTCCCCGCCTGAGGGTCCTGAGGTGCCGGGCACCAGGCCTTCTTCTGTGCTCTGCTGCGGCCAGGCTGTGTGGCTACAAGGTATCACTTGCTTTTCCTGAGCCTTAATCTCCTCAGTAAAGGTAAGAAGCTGTTAGTTTTAAAAGACTTGAACTTTAGTTCCTGTTTCTTTTTCCTCAGTTTCTACCAATCTATGAAACTGGAGCTATTGTGTTCTGCTCAGAAATAGTGCACAATCCAGTGCTGTAGACTCCTCCACATCAGATGAGAGAGATGTACCTCCGTCTACCATTGCTCCTGGATCTGACGGCTTTGCCTACCCAGCTTCCATCCACCCTTCTTCCAGAGACAGGACTCCAACTTTCCTTTGGGGCTCCTTTTTCCCCATCCTCAGGCCTTCTGAATCAGACAAAGTTAAACTATCCCTCTAGATATGAACAGCGAGCTGGACCTAGTCAATGAGACGTCGGGTAAGATTTAGTGAGACTGCCAGGAAAGAGAAGCCAGTCTTTCTCGGTATTGCTACCATAGCGTCAGGATGATAAAAACCTAGACCAAGGGCCCACCAGATAGCTCAGCGGACTAAAGCGCCTGCTTAGGCAGGACCAGGGACCAGAGTTTGATCCCCAGCATGCCATGCTGGCCCCGCCTCCAGGGAGCGTGGAGACTGGACACGGTGGCGCACACCTGTAATCCCAGCGCTTGGGAGGCTGAAAACAGGAGGATCACTACAAGTCCGATCTGTGTAGTGAGACGCTGTACTAAATACTAAAAAAGAAAGAAAGAAACCTGGAGCAGCTGGAAAACACTTGGCAGTCAGGAGGGAGCAGGCTGCCTGAGGGCAGGCACATGAGAGAAGCAGAGTGTAGACAGCTCCTCTGGCTTGATGGCACCCTTTGCATGCATGGAGCACACCGTACCTGAAGGCGGACCAACCCGGAAGTTTTCAATTAACTATCATAGTGAACTTCTAGTGAACTTCTTCCATGCTTTTCTTTTTTGCTTTTTTTTTTTTTTTTTCCTGAATCTTTTTTGAGCTGGTTTCCTGTCACTTTTTTGAGAAATAATCTTGTCTTTGAATATTGTTTATCTTCCAGAAATTCTTTCCCATGTCCCTTCTTTTTCTTTGCAAACTCTTTCAAGGGTCACCCAAACATCCCTTCCCTAGGAGCTCTTCCCCGTGACCCTTAGTGGAGTTAAAAGCTCCCTCCTCAGGCTCCCACGCAGCCTGCACACTCCACCACCAAGACGGATCACAGCGCTGTGCTAAGTTCTGGATCCTCCGGTCCCTTGCTGTTCAGATATTTGTTCATCTTCGAAACCCTGGCGCCTAGAGCAGGGCTAACGTACGGCGGCGCCTGACAAATGGGGGAAAAGGAACCAGCACATTCATTCTGTTGTGACACCAGCCTGTTTTCTTTGGCTGTTCAGAAGAAATAGAAACTAATTTGTCACCCTGCTCCATGTGGATTAGTCACAGTTTAAACAGCGAGGAGGTGGTGTAATGTACATAGTGAGCTCCGTCACTGCTGAGCAACAATTCGAATTTTAATGCTGGGTTGCCTGTGTGTTCTGCATACTTACCCTTTCTTGCTGCCAATCCCCTTTGTACTTACGCTGGATGCCACATGATGGTAGAGTGGACGGAGAGGAGGCTCCCGTCCCACGTGGCCTCCTCTACGAACTTGTGGAGCCCCCTCATCTTCATAATAGAGGAGCTGGATCACATCAGTGAAACTTCTAAACTCCATCAGACCATAGTGACCTCTTGCCTCAGTGTCCAGTGACCACTCAGCTGGCTTATAATGGCCATGCCAGAAAACAGGCCCAGAGTAGTGCAGATTGTGCAATGTTTCAAGGAGGTCAAGGATGTAGTTTTTCTTGATGGTGAGTATGCTAAAAATATTTTGTGGGCCTGGACTACAAAGAGCAAAATACCCTCCTGCACTGCTAGTACGTGTGCACAAGAATTACACTCCTATGGTCAAAAATTTGGCAAAAAGCTTTCCTAGCTAAAGATGTGTTTATCCTTTGATCAGTCTGGCAATTTGGACTCCTAGGAATCTCCACATCATGCTATAGAACAAAATGTGCACAAGGATATTTACTACGGAATCAAGAGCCCCAAGACTGATAATAACTCCAAGCTTCCATTCATATAGGAGTCGTTTGCTTCACAGAATAGTTTGCACCCAAAAAAAATAGGGCAATTTTTCTGTACTTATATGGAGCAACATCCAGGATTATTGAGATAGTTATTTTCTTTGCCACTGAGACCCAATACCTGATACCTGCAACTTGAGGGAGGAGAGGTCTACCGTGGTTCACAGACTTTAGAGGACTCAGTTCGTGGCTGGCTGGCTCTGAGGCAGGAAGGAGATGGGGAGGGCCTGGGGGAGGAGTGCTGCTGCCATCATGGCAGCCAGGAGGCAGAGAGTGAAAGGAGGAAATGGGGAGGAGGCGCACCTGCCAGCTCACCTGCCCCATGACCCACCTCTCATTAAGTCCCATCTCCGGAGTGCACACAGCTGCTGAGCTCATTAGTGGGTGAATCCACCGGTCAGTGTGGCAGCCTGTCATCCAATCACATTAAAAATCCTGCCTCTGAGCACATGAGAGTTCCGCAGGATATTCTAGATCTGAACCATAACCCATAATAAGAACAAAAGTGAATAGAAAAATGCTCTTCACACTTGAGTTCCCCAGCTGACGAGAACATTTTAAAAACCTACTGCTCTGGCCCTCGCTGCTGAGCTCGGGAGCCGAGGACATGGAGAATCCTTCCTCTCTGTCCAATTCTGTGTGTGTCTGTGTGTGTGTGTGTGTGTGTGTGTGTGTGTGTGTGTATCCATATTCAGTAAGTGGCAGGAACCTCCTACAGGGACAAGCAGTGCTACTCGGTGTCATTGACAAACCCAGCATCTCACTAGAACAGTCTCACTAGGGGAGTCATAATGGTAGAACTTCACTGAATGTTGAATTTGACTCCAACAGCATTGGGTTATAATACTAAATCTCCCCATAACAGCTCTCCTTCCTCCTAAAACAACTGTTATTCATGTGTTCACTTTTACAATGCCCTTTCCATCACTAGACTGGGAGCCCTGTGAGACTGCGATCCATCTGTTTGCCCCCCACTGAATCTCTAGCATCTGCTACAGCGCCCGGTGTGTGGTAGGTTGGTGCCTGATGAGTATCTTTTGAATCAATGAGTACATAAGTCACCAAGGTAATGCACATAAAGACTTTAGTGTCGTAGCCGGCATAGTTAAATTTCCTTTTTTGAAAACTAGAAATAAGGTGGGGATATAGTTCAGCAGCATAAGCACCTGCCTGGCAAGCGCAAGGTCCCAAGTTCGATCCCTGGTACCAAAAAAGAAAAGAGAGAGAAAAAAAAACCCAACAAAACCCTGGAAATCACACCAGATCCTAACTCACAAGCTCTTGGTGAGGATTCAAGGATATGACATCTGTACACTGTTGCCTTCTTCCCTTCCGATTTCCAAGGAAGTCTGAGTGACTCAGCTTCGCCTTTGAAGCCAAGTCAGGCAGGTCACAGGTGCAGGACCAGCCCGTAGACAGGGGTGGAGTGGTACCTAAGGGAGAGAATTTAGCCTTGTGAAGTACCAGGCTCCTGTTCAGAGATTCTTGCAGGCATTTGAAATGCATTCCATAAAATAGGCCTAGAGGGGAAGGAATACATTTGAAATTTATTAGGCAATAAAAGCAGCATTATTAGGTAATGGTTTGAATGTGGGAGGTCAGGCAAAGAAGCAGCACCGATGACATCAGGGGTTGGCTTGGGAAATGGTGCTCTCTCAGCTCCTCTTCCTCTGTATTGGAGATGTCCTCCGGAAGCTTCACCTTGACTGAGTTAGGGCCTTGGCAGGAAACGGATGGGACAGCCTGTCTGCCTGGCCCTAGGTCTGTAAGGGAGCGAAGGGGCAGCCAACAGATCCCAAAGAGGTAGGGTTGTCGGGTTGTCTCCAAAAGGCTGCACGGCGGGAGTTGTGGCCCTTAGTGACACAGCCCCAGTAAGGAATCTGGGGAAAGAAGCCTTGAAGTGGGTCTTCTCCTTCCACCTGAAGTCTTGCCCTGGCTCCCCGAGGGCGGAACACAACAGGAAAATAAAGACAAAAGGCCCATAGGCCAAATATTACTTCCTTGAAAGAAGGCGATTAGGCGAAAAGGCAAGATGTCCAGTTCCCTTCTCGGAGTGGGGCTTATATCCATGGCAGAGAGTCCACCATCACAGAAACAACCTCACACTTCAGCAGGGCCTTCTGGAGGTCAGGCGCCCACCCCCGAGCCAATCACTGTAGGCGAAGGAGATGGGGGGCTCTGATTGGCTCAACCAGCAGTTAAGGGCAGAGTCAGTTCTAAGTCAACCTCCTGGCTGAGATGGAGAAGCACAAATCCCCAAGACAGTCGGGGTGTTTTAAAACACAGTAATAGGGCTTTTGAGATGGGGTCTGAGATTCCTGCGGGATGGAGTAGGGAGGAAGAGACCGGAGTGCATGGGTGAGTGTGTGAGCCAGTGGTCAGGACAGCGCTGCCCCCTCCCCAGGCCTGGTTCCAACAGGGAGGAGGCAGCATTCTGTAGCTCAGCCCTGGCCCACAAGCTGTTTACCAACACGTTTCTGACTTCTCCTCAGGAGCACAGACCCCTCCTTGGCAGCAAAGACCACAAGTCTTGCTTTATGGAGTCCCTCCTTGCAGTTGGACCTAGACAAGACCTCCCTGGACCCACTGAAGTCTGCTGAAAAGTGCCACCTAGTGGAACACCAGATGACCTACTAAGTAGTGTTTTACAACCCAGGAAGCCACTGAGCAGTGATTCTCAAACTTGGCGATATGAAAAAGTCCCTGAGGAAAAGCTGAGTCTACCTCCCCAGAGCCTGCCTGGCGGGTCTGGGACCCAGTGGAGATCCAGAATGCTCAAGAGTTCCCAGGCGACTACCCCAGTCTGCCAGGGTTGGGTCCACTGAGCTAGATTTCACAGAGGTGCTCACAGAAGGGACACACTCTCCCTCTGCCCTACATCTCAGTACCTCCCTGTGTTTTGTTCAAAAATCAGGACGTTGTCATTTCGATCTAACCCCATCCCCACTCTCGTGTTCCAAGGATGGACTATGGAAGGGAATGGGATCATAATTTGATATCAGGAAACCACAGCAACAGGAGATGGGGCCATAGGTGTGGGACCTTAGAGACTGCTTCCACTGCCTGCTCACTTCCTCTCTGGCTTCTCTTACCTTCCTGCTGGTTGTTTGTTTGGTTGGTTTTTTTTTTTGTTTTGTTTTGTTTTTGTTTTTTTCTGCCAAGAAGGAGCGACTTCCCACCTGTCACAGCCTTCCACTGTGACGTTGCTCTCGGCCACAGGCCTAAAGCAGTGGAACCGGGTGATGACCAACTGAAACCTTGGAAACTGTAGGCCAAAATAACCCTTCTTCCTTTGTCAACATTCTCC